AAAAAAAGAAAAGAAAATAATTGCCAGTTTCTGTTCTTAAGAAATGGAAACCTGTCCGCTTCTGCCCCTAAGAAATAGAAACTTGCTTTTCGTGAAATCAGGTACGTCTGCTGTGCCAACCTCAAAGACTAACCCTACCTCAAACAGAGTCCCTTTCCCCTTAACCATGACCTTGCTTACAAAAGAAAACTCTAAGAAGGAAATTGCTGTTGTTCCCTGTGCGAGGCAGCCTGTCAGACTTCTGACAATAAACTTGCTTTGCTTATCTTTGGTGTGTCCAAGTGGTCAGTCCTGTGGCCAGTTTCCTTTCAGAACTTATTCTGTTTACTTTTATTTTCCTTTGATACGAAAGTCAATTAAATACCCTCCAGAGAACTGGGTGCCTAGAGGCATGAAATAAGAGAAATATATATAGCCTAGGAAAAAATTGAGTTGTTCAGTTAGCAAAAGTGAATCTATATATACAGACTGGCTATCTCCCTGGAAGTAAGTAACCCTTTTAGATACGAGCTCCTTCAAATGTCGAATGACTTTATTCAAAACTTTCTTTTGGAAAAACTCAATGGAGTACCCACTTTACACAAAAGGATTCCATTTTATCTTTAGTAGAAAAGTGGGGTTGGAGGAACATAAAGCTCTACTTCCGTTTTGGAGCATAAAATTGGCAGCCTGAATCCTAGTCTAGGCTCTACTATTAGCTGTGACCTTGATATGTCCTTGAATCCAGCAGAACTGAATGACTCCCTGAGTTCTCCAAAGAGAACAATGGTAATAGAACAGCTAATGTGCACAGAAATCTGCTGTGTACCAGGCACAGTTCTGAACATTTTTCATGCATTATTTCACTTAACCCTCAATATCCCTCCTTGAGCTGGATGCTATTATCCCCAGATGAGAAAACTGAGACCCAGAGAAATGAATGTGTCCAAGTTCACAAGTGAAAGTCATTTTGGAGAAACTGTATTTGTTTAAGCCTAGCTCCCATGGCCATTCCTCTTTCCCTCATCCACCAGAGGCCTTTCTGTGGCTCCACATTTGTAAGCAGAGTGCATTATTTTGGACTCCTCTAACACCTTATGCACGCTGATATTTTAGTGCTTCTTGCATTGTATTGTGTTAATTGTTTTTGCATATCTCTTCCAGCTAACAGAGAATACTTTGAATTCAGAGGCCGTGTTTCGTTTATTATTCTCAGCACTTCCTCCAGGACTCGGCAATTACTAGAGACTCAATATAACACCAAGGTATAAACTCTCAAATTTGTGTCTCATTTAGTCCCCACAATAACTTTGAGAAGAAAAATTATCCTTTTTGGCAGATAATGACTCAGAGAGGTTAAGTAATTGACTCAAGTTCGAAGAGTGAACCAAATATTGCATCCAGGCATCAGACAGTCCCCTTTCCTGCCAGCACTGTCCACTCAGTTATCCAAACCAGCCCAGAAACCAGGGAGCCACTATGTTTTCTTACTCATGATCTATTACTCCCACCTCCAAGTCACTCTCCTAATTCAGATTACTGCCTTCACCTATATGGATCACAAGAGCTAGGGAATTTGGACTTTTGGTTGACCCCTAAAACAAAAGGTTAAAAACTATGGGTGACTCTTAAGCACAAGCATTTCTTATGATCTTCCTTAGAGACAAAGACATACTTCCACCCTCTCAACCCAGAGTAGCTTAAATCGTGGTCTTTTAAAAGGTTAGAATTATATCTTCACCCTGTGACATAAATTTCAGCATGAGGATCAGGGGCACATTGCTCCAGTCCTATAAATTATATGAGGCAACCAGACAGTCTCCAAGATTTCAGTTTCATTGGCAGTTCATATTTTCAGACTGCACCTCACCTGGTTTTGTTTTTGCAGAGTATCTTCCATTCTCTCTTCAATTCTGGCAGCTGTACTTTGTTTCCTGTGTTTTTGTTTTTAACCCTTCTCATTGCTCAGTCGTCACCCGTGCTGGGGCTCTACCTTGTTCCGGCCCTCGATAAGGTGTATTCCTGGTTTTCTTCCTTACTATCTTGATCTTGAGTAAATGTCACATGTTGTTTTATGTGCTCTGCCACCTGGAAGGAATTTGGTGACATGTTAAGACCTCCCTGCAGAACTGGCTATTTGTCCCTGGCTGCCAGGATCCTTCAGATCACTTCCCTCCATCTCCTGGAACAGGTGCATCTGCCACAACCTACCTTGTCATGGAGCAGGGTGCAGGGGGTGCCTCTTTACAGATATTGGAACTAGTTAAGAACTATTAATGTCCCTTGGATATCTACTTTATTGCAAACATAAGATAAATTTGTTCAGAGCAAATGACATCAATCATTTCTGGCAGACACTTAGACTCTCAACAACGAGGCTTCTCAGAATATTAAGATTTCCTGCCCCTCTGGGAGCCCCGGAATAAAGTACTCTCGTTAATATTCCCAGATGACCTGTGAAGAAGAAAGTCTCACTGTAGGAGCTCCATGTGCTATTTAAAGAATAGACCTTATATCAGAGAAGCAGAGACAGAGGGCCTGGATTTTCAATGAGGATAAAAAAGGTGCCACCTGTCTAAGTCAGATAGTAAATGAAATTGTATGAAAAAGGCCACTGACCCCATGTCACTATTCCCCTTAAAGTTATTGTCTTCATTTTGAATGTTGTGAATTATTTATTAATATTCTATATTTAACTTGTTAAATGAGGAAATGTGTTCTTGTGGGGGTGGGAGTGTGTTTTAGTCTCTAACAGTTAGTCTTTAGAAAGAATTCTAAAAGTTAGAGCTATGTCTCAAGGGATGAGATGAGGATGAGGAGAGAATGCGTATACCCTCTCTGTATTATGTTTATAATTCAATTCCATCTACTGGCGGTTTAAGCTTATTTCTTTTCCCTTCACCATCCTCTTTCCTCTTCTGATTATCTTTCTAAATCCAGAGACAGAAACTATCCCCAAACACAACACGCTAGTAGGGCAGAGGATGGGTGGGTATTATGTTAAGGAGGATGTGGTCCCTGTAAGTGTCATGCTACAGTGAGCACCAGACACAAGATTACTCACGGAAGCCCCAGGGTAGTTTGAGATCAGATATGGAGGCAAGTCAGGAAGGTCTCAGAAAATCATGCCTGAGTCTAGCAGAGCTGTCTGTTCTTACTTTTTCTATTTTCCACTTTCTGACCTTTCATCCAGTTTTTTTTTCTTTCTTTCTTTCTTTCTTTCTTTCTTTCTTTTTTCTTTCTTTTTTCTTTTTTTGGTTTAGTTAAATATTCATTGTTTACTTCATTATGCCCATACAGGCAGAAATCACAACAGAGTGTTATAGTACACTCTGATTAGACTTTTTGAACCACTTGCTTTTTTTTTTCTTGAAGTTAATACAGATTGAGCATCCCTAATCTGGAAATCCAAAATCCAAATTTAGTGCCAACTTGATGCCACAAGTAGGAAATTCCACATCATGAAACCTCGTTTCTTACACAAAACTGTTAAGATATTATATAAAATCACCTTTGGGCTATGTATGTAAGGTGCATATGAAACACATATGAATGTTATGTTTACATTTGGGTCTCTCATTCCCCCCCAGATATCTCTTTCTTTCTCCCCCCTCCTTCCCCTCCCTCCCTGTGTGTCTCTCTCTCCCTATCTTCCCCCCACCTACCCATATGCAAATATTCTGAGATCTGAAAAAATTCAAGCTCTAAAACACTCTGGTTCTAAGGGACATTCAATCTATAATTGCCTTTTTGATAAAAGAAAACTGCTTCGTTTTCTTTATCTCTTGTACAATTATTTCCACATCTTCCAATATTCCATCAGCCTCATTTTCTTTTACATCAGTCAAACCAGTTAACATCAACCCTATTCCAAATTGAAGAAGTTCTTTTAACTTTTAAAAAATGATGAAATATAGATATTATGTTATAGAATTTGAAAGTCTTGACATTTTGGAAGTCATGTAATGAGTACAACTTTTTAAAATATGTAAAACACACAAAAAAATGTAAGCTTATTTATTTTCCCTTCACCTACTTTCCTTCCTCTTCCGATTGTCTTTCTGAATTAATTTAGAGACAGAAACTCCCCCAAGCACAGCATGCTAGTAAACATGGGTAAGTAATATCGTATTCAAATGGAGTGTTTTGCTAAGAGGCAGTAGGATTTAGGGGCTAAGTCTGCCTTCAAATCCTTCCACTCAGTAGATGTGCCCACGTTTTTTTGTGGGGAGAGGGGTCTCTGGGGATTTAACTCTGGGGCAGCCTACAACTGAGCCTCATCCCCAGCCCTATTTTGTATTTTATTTAGGGACAGGGTCTCACTGAGTTACTTAGTGCCTCGCTTTTGCTGAGGCTGGCTTTGAACTTGCAATTCTCCTGCTTCAGCCTTCCAAGCCACTGGGATTACAGGCATGCACCACTGTGCCTGGCACAGATGTGTCCACCTTAAACAGGATATTCAACCTATTTGTACCTCAGTTTTCTGATTCATAAAATGGAGATAAAAATACCTCTAGGTTTAATTGAGGTAAATCACTCTATATTTTACCTGATACAGAGTAAATGCCTATAAACTTTAGGTATTATTTAGCACAACAGCAAAGGACAAAATAATTTAAAAATACTGAAAGACTTTTTAGCTTATGTAAGAAGAAAATATAAAAATCAAATTATAGGAAAATAAGAAGTTGGAATAAAAACATGTGCAGCATGTATGACAGGTCAAAAGTTTAGCTGCATTTAATATACAGTAAGCCTTAGATAGAATGGAAAAATAGAGTACATACATTGGCAGCTTAGAAAAGAAATAAAACAGGTATACAAAAATATATCTGCACTCATTTATAATAAAAATAGTATAGCTAAAATATAATAATATACAAAATGAGAGAAAACAGAAATTACTAATATCAGAAATGAAAAAGGGGTCATTATTACTGATTCTATGGATGTTAAAAGAATAACAAAGCAATATTAGGAGTAACTCTATGCTCACAGATATGATAACTTGCATGAAATGGACCATCTCCTTGAAGAGATTCAGTGCAATAGAAATCCAAATTCTAGCCAGTTATTTGTGAATATCAGCAAATTTATTCTAATGTTTAGAAGGAAAGGCAAAAATCACAGAGCAGTCAACATAATATTAAAGAAGAACAGAGGTGGAAGATAGACACTGTGCAACCTCAAGACTTGGCCATAAACCTGTAACGATCAAGATAGCATATTAATGAAAGAATAGACAAATAGATCAAAGGAGGGTAATAGAGTCCAGAAGTAGACCTATAAAAATATAGTCAACTGATCTTCCACAAAGGAGCAGGTGCCATTCAATGGAAAAAAAGGATAGTTTGTAACAAATGGACATCCACATTAAAAAAGAAAAGAAGGAAGGAAAAGAAAGAGAAAAAGAGAAAGAAAAATTAACACAGAATTTACACATTTCACAAAAGTTAACTCAAAATATATCATGGACCTAAGTATAAAATACAAAATTAACAAAACTTCTAAAAGATAACATAAAAGAAAGTCTAGGTGATGAGCTATTTGGTGATGAGCTTTACTTCAATACTAAAAGCATAATCCATGAGAGAAAATCACAAATGGGACTTTGTTAATATTGAAAGCTTCTACTCTGCAAAAAAAATTTTTGGGAGGTATTGGTTTGTGATACTGGGGCTGGAACCAGGAATGTTTAACAACCAAGCCACATCCTCAGCCCTTCTTTTTTTGGGGGGTGGAGGGGAGGACAGGGTTTTGCTAAGTTACTTAGGGCCTCCCTAAATTGCTGAGGCTGGCCTTGAACCTGAGGTCCTCCTGCCTCAGCCTCCCAAGCCTCTGAGATTACAGGCCTCCACCCTGCAAAAGATACTGTTAAAAGAATAAAAAGCAAGCCACAGACTGGGATTTGCAAAATACATATTAATAACTTTATCCAAAATATATAAAGATGTCTTCACACTGAACCATAAGAAAGCAAACAACCCAATTTTTTAAAATTCAAAAGACCCAAAACAAACGTGGCTATATAACCAATGTGATCCTGCAATCTGTACATGTGGAAAAATAAGAATTCATACCCCATTTGAATCAAATGTATGATATGTCAAGATCATTGTAATGTTTTGAGCAACTAATAAAAAAATTAAAAGAGAAAAAAAAAAGAACTAAATAGACACCTCACTAAAGAAGATAGACAGGGCTGGGGATGTGGTTCAGTGGTTAAGTGTCCCTGAGTTCAATCCCTGGTACCAAAAAAAAAAAA